CTGTGGGGAGGGGGGAGGGGGGGGGGGGACTGAGGGTGGGAAATCAGATAGGGGTCTCCCACGTACTGGCTATGGTGGGCCTGGTTAGCCCTCTGAAGGGTCGCTGGAAATCATTACGAAATTCGTTGGTCGGAATTCAATGATGAAGTGGTCTGTGGGGAGGAATTCCCACTGGCTCTCCGTGGTTGCCACTGCAAGTTGTGTTGGTCGTTCAACGTACAGTCTCTGGCCCTGGTCCAACGTACACTGTTGTGGAAGTTTTGCAGCAGTTGTGCCGGTTTCGGTTCTTCAATTTCTTGTTCGAGTCTGGTTCTGAGATTTTTCCAGGCATCTTGGGTCTGAGCTGTAATGGTGTCGGCAGTAGTGGATCTTGCCTGTATGAATCCAAATGTTTGTTGGTTCAGCCATGAGGATAGCCAGCCTGGTGTGTTGGAACAGTTTAAGCATAAATTGTCCGGTTCGCTCCCTCAGGTGGCAGCTCTCCAAACGGGAGTGCCTTCATGCTCTATGGTAGGTGTTTTGTCCCGTGATGTAGTGCCAAGCTGTGTCCCACCAGCGCCAGAGTTGGGCCGCCATGGGACAGTCCAAGAGACGGTGTTCCAGGGTGGCCCTTTTTCTGGGCGGAATCATTTCACAATACGTACATAGTGGGGAAAGCTGATCACTTTGTTCCAGGTTGGTCCTCGCCATGATCCAGTCCGGGGTGGGCAAGCACCTATGGATGATTTGCCACTGCAAGGCTCTGTGACTTGTCGGTTTGATATGAGAATAGGACCACTTGGAGTTTGGATCCTCTTTTTCTAATGGCGAGTCCCTCTCCCACCTTCTGAGGATATTGTTCATGACGTGGTGTGGGTTCTGAGAAGCTCTGTACCCCATTTTTACCATATATTGCCATGGGTACATCTTGGACTCAGTTCCCCACTGCCATTCCAAGTCCGTTGGGTTGAATGGGAGGTGGGACAGAGGAATGGCCGGTTCATATACATACCATACCTGTGTTTTGATGTAGTGTGTTGCCGGATGCTGGCAGTCTGAAGCCTCATCCCTTTGTACTGCTGACCACCTTGCCCCCGGCAGGACTGGGCGATAAGCTTGCAATTTTAGGGAGGTGGGTTGTACGTGATGTACCTCTATAGACAGTCATTGGGAGATATAAAGATTAACTTTCACCACCCAATCCCCGATTTGGATTTGGGGGTCTTTCCGCAATGCTTTCACCCATGCCAGGGGTATCGCTTCTTGCAGGTTGCGGACTTGAGCGACTTTGGGTACAGGGCGCATTTTTTCTCTGATCTTGTATTCTGTGTGCCATCGGGCCACTTTGTGGTCCCATAAATCTCGTACCATGAAGAATCATTTTTTCACCCACTTTAGCCATTTGGAGTTGCGGCAGAGGGAGAAAGGTGTTCCATCCAGGTCCCGTAGTTGGGGGTGGCCAAATACAGGTTGGTTTATAATTTCTTGCCATCTTCGTGGTGTCGGTCTCCTCTTCGGGTGGTGGTCTCTCCACAGCCAGGGCAATGTGGGCCATAGCGGATCCGAAGGTAGGTCCCATCTGGCACTTGCTCTCCCTTCCGGATCCGTGTCTAGTTCTCCCCGGGAGGTTAGCCGAGATGGACCAGGCTGGGTTGGTGAGCCATTGCAAGGGGTGCACTTGTCGGTCTTGGGGTGACGAGGGCGCCAGGCAGGAGATCTGAATGAGGGCATATGGAGCCCATGGAATATCGTTGGTGATAAGGAGGCGGATGAGAAATTTGAAAATAAGCGCCGTGATGTGACAAACTGTTTTCTGCAACCTCGCGGATTTTTATGCAAGGCTATGTCCGGGGGGGGGAGGGGGGGGTGAAATTGGCTGAGTCGGAATGGTCTGGCGGATTGCATGGATGCCCCTGCTTTTTCTTGTCTCTTTCGATTGAAGGCTGGTCTGGTCCCACGAGGGTTGATCGTTGATCGCGCCTCAGCGAGCGCAGCGAATAAACGGTTGCCATAACTTTTTTCTTGTTCTGCTGTGGGAAATGAGAATTTTGGCGTGATTGTCGTGCGGGGAAATCTTTTTGAATTTTCAACTGATGTCGAGCCCCTGCGGACTATCAGAATTTGCTTTGTTCGGATTTTCTTTTTGTAATAAGGATTTAGACTAGGAAATTGGGCGCGTGTCAATTTCTGCTGCGCGACGCTTCCTGCTTGCGCAGGCTCGGTTGCGACATGAATTGTGTTTTGACTTTTCCGCGCCTTAATCTCGTGTGTAACTGTAGTCTTTGTTTTGGCGAGCGTGATTGCAACTGTAATCCTCTCGTTCTTGATATCTTTTGTGGCGCCCTTTCACGCACATACCTCTCCCCCGTCTTATTGGCCTGAACGCTTGCATGACCGGATCGATGTGTGGAGTGTGGCTACGTCCCCCATGCTGCGGCCAGGCCATGTAGGCGTAGGCCCTTCCTTCCTCCTCCTTCCTCCCACCCAAATTTGAGTATCTTGCGCAAAGGATCGAAGTGTGGAGTGTGGCTACGTCCCCCATGCTGCAGCTAGGCCATGTAGGCGTAGGCCCTTCCTTCCTTCTTCCCACCCAAACACGACCCCGAGTATCTTGCGCAAAGCATGCATGCTATAAGTCTCGCAAGCACGATTAATTCGTTCTCTAAGACTTTTTGAAGTTAGCGTGGTCGAGAAGATCGGCTAACGAGCAGGAGTTGGCAGGTGAGCAGAGAGTTGGGCGATCTGACGAGCTGGTGCTGGGCGTGCGGGGTTGACGTGGGGCCGTGACGGACTGTGGCACACGGGCGAACCAGACGGGCATGCTCGGGCTGCGCGGGGTGACAACTTGGCGTAGGTGCGAGGCGATGGACTGCCCGCATCGGGATGTTGTGGAGAGAGAGAGAGAGGGAGAGAGAGAGAGACGGGATGTGTTGTGGTGGTGTTTTCTTCTATCCCTCCGAATAATTCTGGCCCTCCTCCTTCCTCCCACCCAAACACGACCCCGAGTATCTTGCGCAAAGCATGCATGCTATAAATCTCGCAAGCACGATTAATTCGTTCTCTAAGACTTTTTGAAGTTAGCGTGGTCAAGAAGATTGGCTAACGAGCAGGAGTTGGCAGGTGAGCAGAGAGTTGGGTGATCTGACGAGCTGGTGCTGGGCGTGTGGGGTTGACGTGGGGCCACGACGGACTGTGGCACACGGGCGAACCTGACGGGCATGCTCGGGCTGAGCGGGGTGACAACTTGGCGTACGTGCGAGGCGATGGACTGCCCGCATCGGGATGTTGTGGAGAGAGAGAGAGAGAGAGAGAGAGAGAGAGAGAGAGAGAGAGAGAGAGAGAGAGACGGGATGTGTTGTGGTGGTGTTCTCTTCTATCCCTCTGAATAATTCTGGCCCTTCTTCTATCCTTCTGAGCAGTTTTGATATCCGACGCCGGACGCGCTTGTCCTTTTCTGAATCGGTATCTCAGATCTTTCCTCTATTTCTTTTCAGAGACTGATGTATGGTTACTTTCCCCACTTTGTCTTTTTAAATCGGCCATTCTGATGGATTGATTGCCATCAATCGGAGCTTGTGTGGAATCTTCGGGATGACTGACCACAAGAGTTGTTGCATGATCCTCTGTTCTTTCTGGTTGTATGTAGGCTAGTTGCATGAATAATGGATAGGCAAGATTATTTCTGTGTATGAAATAAGTAGGCATGATAGACGAT